AAGAGGCCTATCCCAGGTCTTTGCAGAGAGAAAAATGCTGTTTAGACTAAACATAAATAGTAGTATTTAGATGTCATGATACAGCACCATATGTACTTGAATTACTGTATAATGCTGGATTTATCTGTTACTAGACAAACTGTGACATGTCATCATTTAAGAGATATTTATTTACCTAAACATAGAATCAGAATGATCATAGATGGGCAAAAAAGCAGTGGGAACAGGAGCAACTTCCATTTTCCTGCCAACTTCCCCACTGAGTTAAGGGAAATTGGCAGAGAGCATCAGAAATTTCCCTCACACCCTGTCAGTCTCTCATTAGCTTCCTCAGTGCCTTCCCTTCCTTTCCTTCCTCTTTCCAGCTAAGTGGCTGCTGCTGGGTGGGGAAAGGGAGCAAAGCACTGCAAGACTGGCTGATAAATTGTCACTGAATTTTTGAAAATGAAGATCACATGACTGCAGCAGCCACTGAAGAATCCACAACTTTGGCACGTTACATTCCCTCAGGAATCACGGGTCATGGGTTTTGAACACATTCTGAAATTTAGCCCAGTTTGAGATACAAGCAGCCCTCAACTTATGACCACAACTGAGTCCAAAATTTATGTTTAAGTGAGATATTGGTTAAGTGAGTTTTGCCCCATTTTACGACCTTTCTAGCCACACTTGTTAAGTGAGTCACTGCGGTTGTTAAATTAGTAAGACAATTGTTAAGTGAATCTGGCTTCCCCATTGACTTTACTTGTCAGACGGTCACAAAACCTGTGCACATTACCCTGGGACATTGCTACGGACATAAATATGAATCAATTGCCAAACATAACAAATTTCAATCACGTGACCATGGGGATGCTGCAATGGTCATAAGTGTGGGGAAATGGTCGTGTCACTTTTTTCAGGGCCATTGTAACTTTGAAAGCGATCACTAAATGAACTGTTGTAAGTCAAGGATTACCTGTACTTTCTTCAAAAATTGTTGCCCTATATGATGTACCACTTCACCCACTTAAACCTTATGACAATGAAAGTTTTAGTAGTAGAGCATGTAGACAGGTTTCTGCTTTTGTTCACCTGGTCGTAGCGCTGTGAGGTTCAGGTAGGTTTAGGAGTAGAGGAAAATCCTTCTATAGAACAGAAGGACATGACTTCTGTCCTGGTTATGGGGAAAGGGCAGTGACATCAGTGGCCCCTAAAATCAAGAGCCAGAAATAAGAGCATGCCATTTAAAGCCCAAATTAGTTTGATTTTAATGACAAGAACTAGCATTTTGGGACATTGGGCATCAGTTGCTGTGTCTACAGTGCGGCTGTGCTGTGGAGCTATGTATACAGAGTCTGGTTTCAGGCTGCAGTGATGAATTTGGTCTTCTCCCAAGGGCTCTGCGAACAATGCGATCTTCCAGCTGACTATCTGGAGAATGCCTAAGGGACCCCAGCTGCTGGGGAATGCTAAAAATAAGGCTCTTCCAATGGCCTCATGTGGCCCCTGCTCAGGGAGCATTTTTGTCAGGTTAGGAAGTTCACACTGGCATGCTGAGCATGTGATTTCTTCAGCATTCGTCACCTGCATTGTTCAATAAGAGGATTAGAACCCATTGCATAAACTGACCTTTCAGGGAGCTGCTTTTATATTTTCTCTTTCCCTTGTTTTGCAAACCATCATTTGGCAGGAGAGCCCTTTCACATTGCTCAAATAGATTGGCCTTTTCCAGATCCTGGAGGTCACAGTTTCAGATTCACTGATTTCCCAGCACACTGCTGGTTTTCTTGATTTTCTTCGGGGAGAGGACTAGCATTTTACAGGGGAGGGAATGGACAGATTTCTGAAACTTAAACTCTCTGCTCTGTTTTGGAGCTACAGCAGCAGAATTTCCTGCTTAAATCATTTTTTGACCCTTCTCCTTGTTCATTCCAGTCTCTTCTTAACTGTTTAGTTAACTGTAGCAGCGTTTTTGGACTCAAAATATGATATAGTAGCCCTCTGATATTTTAAATTGCTACAATAAGGAGTAGCCAAAAGTATTTCCTGAATTGCATCTTTCAGGGATATGACACACAAAAGCTAGAAGCTTTTCTGATTTTTAAGATGGCTTCTCAAAAGATCGACGTCCCAGATTTCCACAGAGTTAAATTGGAGAGTCATTGAGAAGTAGGTTGTTTTCATCTTCCTTTCTAAAATGCATGGAGACAGTGGAACATTTGTGAGTTGCAGTTGTTGCTGTTCTTTCAGAAGCAACCTGATGAAAATCAATGCAGGCCACACATAAACGGTTGCTGCTATTCCCTGGTAAAAGTGAATGCAAATTCTCTGGCAGCTTAGCATCTGCTGACATAATTAAGACAATTGAACAATAATGGCTGTTCGGGGATTCTTTGTGTGCTTCACAAAGCTTTTGATAGAAAGAGAATGTGCTAAGAAATGCTTAAATAAGCAAGTATGCAACTATATTTTCCAGATATCTTGCTTGATGCAAAAATAGGAATAAACATGATGTGACAACTTGGTATGTATGTGTGTATTGTTGTCTGGGAAAGAAGCATAAGAACTGTTCAGCATAATTTATTTATTACATTTAGCTACCTATTAAAAATAGCTACCTATCACACAACAAGTAACTCTGGGTGATGTACAAAAAAGGTACAAAAAAGTTAATAAATTTTAAACAATTACGGTTGTCACACAGAAGCCATTGTTTAGCTTGGAATTAGCATTTTTATTTGCCCATCAAGTCCTTCCCAAAGATCTGGGATAGGTAGATATTGTTGTTTGATACACTTAAAAATACCGTTGCTCTTCCAAGTAAAGCTGCTTTTTACAATTGACTGATGGTGACTTTGTCAACGCCAATGGTACTGAAGTGATGCTGCAGTGATTTGGGAATTGCACCCAAGGCACTTTCAATTATTGGTACTATGTTTGCTTTCTTTTCATTTTACTTTTATTTGCAGGTCTTTGTATTTTGTAAATTATGCAGCATATGCTTGTCTAGTTGAATTCTAAAACCCCAGAGCTCTTTGGCACCTTAATTTTCGATTACTTTGTCTATTTTGTGGTCCCACTAGTTCCTCTATACTATAGAGGAGTCTATAGGCAGTAGTGTTTCTTTCAGATATATCCAATGCACCATTGTTGCTATTTTGTCATTTCATTGTTTATAGTCAGTCTGGGCAATCTTCTTGCAGCAGCTAAACTACGTGGTCCAGGGTTTTCTTAAGCTTTTTTGCAGAGATGGTGTTTGCTGTATATTGCTATCTGACTAAGTATGCATTTATCCTCAGGCTTGGTGTTATGTGGCCAGAATTAGCCCCTCTATTTTTTTTTAACTTTCCTGCTTCAAGCCATTACCAGATCTTGTTGTTATTTGCTAATGGCTGTGTAATACTTTGCCTTGCCATGTCTCTTTTCTATTCTTCATTTGGTCTTACTTATAGGCCAGTTTGGTCTTTTGAGTATTCAATAAGCTTTCATGGAGTATGGTACAAGGTTCATCTTCATTGCACTTCAATGCCTTTTCTTCTTCTTCAACTGTCAGGTGTATTTGCAATATTCCACATTATTTTATGCACTTTAGTAAGTAAAATATATCAACATTGCTGTGTGGATGAAGGATATAATTCATTGTCATTTTTCTGGTTTTCCTATCCAGGTCTTTTAGTTCTGCTTGAGTCCAGTCCAATATTCCAGCTGTGTATCTAGTGACAGAAATTGCCCAGTTGTTGATTTCTTCCACTGAGTTTGGATATTGCGATCTTCTTCGTTCTCATAATGTATTTACTTCTAATCTTCATTTCCACAATTTCCCCCCCGTTGATGGTCAGAGTTGCACACTTATTCAGTCCAAGCTCATTTGCAATATCTTGGCTGTATACATGCACAGTGTTGACCAGCAATTCTATTTCAGAAAGTGTTTTGCCATACAACTTCAGATCATCCATGTAAAGGAGATGGGAATAGCCTGTCAGATGTTTTTGAGGTTTGATAGCCATGGCTTGACCTGTTTGGTATTGTTGACAGAGGAATCAACACAATGACAAACAATAGTGTTGTTAGTGGGTCTCCTTGAAGGATTCCTTATCCACCTATTTTATCCAAACAGCATTTTTGTTGTATTTCTTTCAGTTGTCTCATAGTTCTGCCCAAAGCTGCACTGTGTTTTCTTGTCAGGAAGTTATTTATTTATTAGATTTGTGTTTCGGCCATCTTGTCTAAAAGACAACCAGGAAAATCCTTGTTCTGAGAAATTGCCATTTTTATAAAATGCAGCTTTTGCTATAACTGGGAAGCTTACCCAAACTTTACCATTAACCCTTGGCAGAAATGGAACAAACTGAAATTCTCCTGCCCATTCACAATTAAGAAATGGAATGAAAATCACACTCTTTTTCATGACTCTTTGCAAAGGTAGTAGAGGTAGCCAACTTTGCAAAGGTAGCCAACTTTGCAAAGGTAGTAGAGACATGCACTATTTTTTATTTTGTCCTTGTAACTCTTTTTTTCTGTCTGAACTAAATCCTCATCAGTTTGAAAAGATATTTACCGAGCAGAGTAGTTTATAGATTTGGGGTTGGAAAGAGAAGGTTGAGAAATAAATAAGAAAAGTTAATTTGTGTAATTAGCGGTGTTCATGTGCAATAGCAATTAACTAAGCTGTATAGTTTCCATGTGTACGTTTACTTTACAACTTGGAAGGTTTTATCTACTCAAATATAATTTAACGATTCAGGTAGGGTTAGATAATTATGTTTCCAAATTCCTAGGAGGGTTTTTTCATGTGAGTAAACACATATGTATGTGTAACTGCATGCATGCAGGCTACTGGGTGAGTTTAGGTTTAAGTTACTAGCCAGGATAATAGAACAGGTTTTGTAGCAAAATGGAGTCCACCTGGATTTCCCCCATTCACCTTTCAACTGTACCACTGCTTCTTCCAATTAGTAGTGATCTGTCTCATGCCACCTCCTTTTTTTCTTATCTGTCCATTTCTACATTTGGTGTAGAGACACATGTGAAAGCCACATGACTCGCTCAACCAGTTCCAGTTCAAGCCTTGATCCCAGTTCCCAATTCCAGGAGAATAATGGGCAGGTCCAGGCCTCTAGATGGGATGAGCAACAGAAGGTCTTTGCCTTGGAACAGATCTGTGGGGTCTTCAGAGTTGACTTGGGGCAGATGAGATCTCTTCGCCTTTTTTTCAGGTAAGATTTGACTGTGTCCAGACATGACAGACATTGCCCTGCTTCCAAAACATGTGATATCACAACAAAACCAGAATGAGTTTTCATTCTTGGCTTTTCTTTTGGAAAATGTTGCTTAAAAAGATTTTATGCTGCCACATGGGTCAAAAATGATATCCCGGTTACTTGGAGTGATGATATTATCTATACTCATCTGCTGACTTTCTGACTACATTTATCCTGTGTACTTGTGTGTTTTGAATAAGTGACCTAGAAAGTCTGGTCTGAGTTGCAAAATGGTGTGCAAATATGGTTTATTTCTATGTGTCTATTGATGACTGATTTGTCTGAATGCACAAGAAAACTTCCTAATAATTTTCCTAAATAATATATAGTCTGGCCATGTTTCTCTTAACATGTTCTCCCAGTTGTGCTGAACAAAAGTCCCCCAAATTCTTCAGGTTCAAAGAGATAATTTTTGAAATTGTAGTTCAGTGCATCAGAGGGTGCCAAATGGGCATGATTATTTTGTATGGGCTGGCAGCTAAGTGATAGGCCATATACTTAGCTGTTGCTTAATTAGTATGGCTGAGAATTGGGAACAATACAATCCATTTTGTTTCCCAGCTGTGGGATAAGTTTCTTGCCTGTCTGCATACAGTTTTTTGGAGACCGTTTTTGATGGTCTCTTTCCCCTAAGTATTTCATATAGATTTATAGCACTGCCCCCTCATCCTTTCTCTGTCATCCTTTTCCCCTGTTGCTTTGTCTCTGGTGATTGTACAGTTCAGTAGATAAGGTTGACATGGTTGACATAGTCCAGGCAAGCCATGTAAACTACCTCCAGCTCTTCTCTGAAGCAAATGGACAGTTAAAAAGTATGAAATATAAACAAACAAACAAACCAACAAAGAAGGGAGGTTCATAACAACCAGAACCACTGCAGTCTATAACAGAGAAAGTGAAGTGTTTTAATTTAAAAGCGGGGGGGGGGGGGACTGAAAAACTTCACCTGTTTATTATTTTGAGGTAATTGGTGTGTAAGTTTCATGAAACAAATAGGAAGACATTTTTCATACTACAGGATTCCTCTGCTGTTTTTAAATACATATTCACATAAAGTTCAGATCTGAAAAAAATATAATTATGTAAACTTAAAAATTACAATTTTGAACTGTCAAGCAAGCTAATTTTTCTCCCTTTTTTCACTCCCTTGATCTCTGACTATTATTATTTAGTTGCCTCACCACCGGTCCCAGTGACGTCATGTTAAAATATGAGAGCTAGAAACAGGTTGCCTTCCTTCCCAACAAAGCTGGGTATTTGAAGAGTCACAGGATCCAGTGGTCCCACTTTCTTACCTACCATTAACCTGAGAAAGCTGAAGGTTAAAAGGAGTAATTTTCTGTCCAATCATCCTTTGGATCCACCTGTTATCTCACTTTTAGGTCTGTGTAGAATGATAATTATTTATGCCTTGCCAGGAGGAGTTTAAGGGAGAAGCAAACTGACCTTGGCAGCCATTCCCTCAGTTCTTTTGCCCAGATCCATGTTGGTAGGATTTGCTGAGCATACCAAGGTTCAGGTTGATTGCCATAAACAATCTTGTAAGTACTACCAGATGGAGGCCAGGCCCTTTGTTGGGTACCAAGAAGTGTGTGGCATGCACTGATTCTTCAAGACCTCACAAGCTACAATTTGGCTATGCTGGTTCATAATCAGAGCCGTGTGTGCTCTGCAGGGGAGAAAACGAAAAGCAACGTCTACCCCTGGGGGAGGGGGAATCAAAGTGTGTGCTCAGAATATATTATGCAAAGTAAGGTCAGATTATTTCCATAATTCATTTTGATTGCGGTTTGGAGTTCTCAAGGAAATTTGCTGTTTCAGTCCTTGCTGGCACATTCCACAGGGAAATGATGATAAAACAAGTAAGCGAATGAGGAGAGGCCTTGAAAGAGATTGGGCGCGGGGGGAGGGTTAATAATGGGAAGGAACCACATTGGACCCAAGCCTCTGACTATGCTGGACAGATAATAGCATCCGTTTTCTTTCCCAAACATTAGCTTCTGGCAGCAGGTTTAAAAGCCAGATTAAATGTGTGGTCTTTAATGGTTTCAAAACATATTGTATTGTGTTGTGAATTTTGTAACAGTTTTCAGCAGGATTTTTTTTTTTTATAAAAGTTTTATTTAAGTTTTCACAAAACATATAAATACAAATAAAATATCTTTTTTTGAGAACAGCGTGACCCCGGGTTATCACTTCTCCATACAGACATAAGCTCAATACGTATTTATCTTACACATTCTAATCCATATCTTCTAACTCTTTTCGCAATTTTTTCAATAGCTTTTCCCTTTCTTTGCTTCCTATAGCCTTATTTTAAATTATCTCATTCCTTTCTTAATTCAATTACATATCTTTTTCTAATTGTTAAAATCTTTCTAATCAATGTTTTTATACTTTCGTTTGTCCTGTTTACAATTTCATATTATCTTTTCTCATAAAACCAATTTTCCTCTGTAATTACTAGACTTGAGTGTAACACCTTTGTATCTTTTTTCAAATCTTGTTTAAAAATTTAAGTTACACCTTTACAGTTATGACATTCATTTTTTAACCTCTATTTTATAATACATACCAATTTTCAATCGAATTCTGCTTGGTACATTCCCCTAAAAATACACACTAAATTCTTAAAAGAAAAAAGTATATATGTATATATATCTGTGTACACATGTATAACAATAGTAAATGGAATAATTATTATATTCAAGTACAGCTCTGCCATTAATATTAATAACAATCTTTTACATTTCTATTTCTTTTAACAAACATTACCTAGTAATATCAGTTGTCTTTCACTTTAATCATCTATATTTCATATTTTACTTATTACTGTCTTTAAATAAAAAACAAAACAATAGTTATTAACAGTAGTCAATAAAATTATTATTCTTATTCAAATTCATCTTGTCAACTGATAAAAATCTACCATGTTTCTTTTCAGTTTTTTTTAACTTTCTTTTTAAATCATGAGAGCCTTATTCTCTTTACAAACAAATATTACATTACACATCAATACAATTTTTTCCTATCACTTTAATCATCTAAACATATTTTCTAACCCTTTTCTATTTCTAATATAACAATGCTATCCCATGCACCCTCACAGAATCCCCTCCTTAAGTTACATTTTAACCATTGTCTCTGTCTTTTAAATAGGTTTATACCTTTAATTCTTGTACACTTTTCCTTTACCCTTATATCTTGTTTCTGTCCTTTGTAGCTTCTTTTCCTTTCCCTCTTCCCTCTCCTCTTCTCCCTCCCCTTTTTATTCCCTTTTCTATCTGATTCTCCCTTCTGTGATCCTCCCTTCTGCTTCTTCCTGATATTATGATTGCTTTTCAAATTACTCTTTTTTGTTGTTGTTGCTTCAATGCTTAAGTTTTTAATTCCCTTTCCCCCCACTTTCCCTTTTTTACCCCACTTAAAGTTGCTTGGTCATTAAAGATGGCTTCTTTATCCTGCCCTTCTTGTTCTGCTAGCGTTTCTTGTTGTTTTTCATAGTTCAAAATCTCCATTTCTAAAAATTGAAATATGAAGCCAAAAAATCCTCGTCCCTCTTGTGCTTCTTCTTTTTATTCTTTAAGTCTCATTTTTAACTCTTCAAGGAGTGATGCCATTTTAAAAAATTTTAAACAACCCCAGTTGATTTTATTTTGTTTCATTAGGATCACCATCCAAAATTTCAGGAATCATCCAATAATCCATAACTGTTTCTTGCTTCTTTTCTCACTTTCTCTTTCCAGGGGCTTTGTTATCTTGTAACAAAGTTTCAGCTACAATGTATCTTTTGTAAGCCTTGTTAAAATTCCACTATCAATTTTTTTAAGTTCCAGGTGGTCTCCTCCATTTTCCAGATTCCACCCTCTTGTTTCCTTTTTCCCTCCTCTCTTTCTTTTTTTAAGAAAATTTTTAAATTATCCAAGAATCTTTATCCCTTTGACACTTTATTTTCAGCTAGAAATAGCCTATTAATGTCAAAGTGGATTAGTATCAATTTTTTATTCGAATCTCTTCTTCTTAATGTTCCAAGTCAATCAAAACTGTCAATATGAGAGGAAAAAAAGCCAATTCCATTTCCTTTCCCTTTCTCTTTCACCGCTTAAGATCTTTTTTAGGAATAGTATTAGTCTTTAAAATTCAGGTTCCAGGTACCTTAAATAGATGTTCTCCATTCAACCCGGTCAGTCAAACTTTCTCCTTTAAACTTCCTCCTGCACAATCTTGTCCGGTAGGGTTCTTCTTTGGGGTGACCATTTCTGACCACCGCTGCAACCGCCTTTGGGAAAGGGAGTAATGGCCAGGCGAGGAGGAGAGATGCGGCTCTCCTCAACCCCGCTGATGGCTCCCCCTTCTTCACCACCTCTACGGGGTGACTTCTGCCCCGAATCCAGGTGGCTTGGGGCACTCCAGCAGTGAGCACGGATCAAAACTGCACACGATCGCAGATTTTGGTCCATCACTGAACAAGCCCGAACTGGAAGTCTTCAGCAGGAATTTCTGTGGAGATTCTCAGTCATCCAGGTCATAGTTGTCTCAAAGGGGCTTTTTTCTTTTTCTTCAAAAGGCAACTGGACTGTTTTTTCTTTGAGAAAGAATAAGAAAACGTTTCACTTCTCATCCAAGAAGCTTCATCAGTTCTGATGGCAGGGGGATGGAAGGGTAGAAGTTATTGGGCCTATTTTAAAATCTAAACCAGGAAGAAATACTTCTGCTCATGTAAAAATTCTATACTTGTTGATGGAAATCCTAAGATTACAGTGGCAGCAGCCAAATTTTTAACAATGGCTATAAAAAAAGGCTTTGATTAAGAAATGAACTTGGGTTTAAAGTTGGTTATGTAATATTTATTAAATATTGTACTTGTTATTTTTTTTTAATTCTATGTCAGGTGTAAATTATGTTTGTCACTTGGTTTTGGGCCTTTTGGGATAAATAAGAGTGATTGATTGATTTTACTCTTTGCTCTTCTATTAGCAAATCCTTCTTTCTTATCGTGGCCTTTTCACTTGGTCCTTACCTGTTACTGTCTGTGTTTACATTTTTGAAATGTTTTTAGGCCTACCAAAAATGCACACGGTTAACATCCTCTCTTAATATTGTTGGTGCACTGCAGTAATGATATAACATGCACACAATACAGTCTGTCTCAAAGCACAAGGCATCTAGCTAATAAATTTTGCTGACTCTCTCCTGCATCTGTCTCTGCACCTTTTCCTTCAGTGATGAGGCCTGTACCAGCGGGCAGTTGGTGGTTGCTAGCCGGGAGAGTCAGTATAAGATTTTTCACTTTCACCATGGTGGCCTGGATAAACTCTCCGAAGTGTTTCAGCAATGGAAGTATTGCACAGAGACGCATCTCAAAGACCAGGTAAGTTAGAGCAGAGCAGGCAGAAGGAGGTGCAGGAAAACCACCAATTCACCTGATGACAATCCACTTCAGTAGATTCCTTCCTTCTTCCTTACAGCCTCTCTCCGGATAATCGGCTGGGTTTTGTAAACTCAGAAAACCCAGCTAGTTCTTTCTTATACTGGAGAAGTAAGAACAGCAGTACTTCCTGGCTTCATTTTAGATATAACAGAGGCATCCAAAATGCTCATTTCTTCTAAAATTGGGCTAGAAAGAGAATACATTACATAACAGGAGTAAGCTGGCAGGATTATAAACATGCCTACAGACATGCCAAAGGAAGCTGGGGGGTGGGTGGGGGGTTGGGATGGGCCGGGGAGGGCTTACAACGCTTTATCAGACGTTGAAGATTTGAGCCTAGTTCTGTTTGCTCTCAGTGATTGGGCATGACAGGTTGGCTATATATAAACATGGGCACAGCAGCACAAGCAATCATTTGTCTTTTCCGTTTTGCTTGATGTGAGGAGAGATGAAAAACATGCATCCTTGGGAGAAGGGAGGGGTTTGAATTCCTGCCTAGGATGCCTAGGAAGTATCGGCATCTTTACTGCGCGCACCGTCTTTTTTTTAATAGTAATTTGTTTTAAAGATTACAATTGACAACAATTAAAATCTAATACAAACTATTTTAAAAACCCAATTTTTAAAAAAAAAATCAGAAAAGAAAAAAGAATAAATAGAAACAAAAACAGAAGAGAAAGAAAAAATAAGAAAATACAGTAGTAAAGAAAAAAAACATATAAAGGAGTTACAATTACAATTTTAATAACTTATCACTTTTTCTTAAATACATTATTCTGATATCTCCTTATCTATAACCAAATCCTTAAACCTTGTCATTTCAATACCGATGTCGGCAAAAGGCCATTTAGCTTAGAGAAAATTGCATAATGTATTTTTAACCTGGATCATATAAACCAACTTTATATTCCTTTCTTTTATTTCTAAGCATTTTGATCTTTAGGCCCTTCAAAATGTCCTAGAACTATGATTTCATTTTTCTTTATCCCTTCATATAACATTCTTCATAACTTTTACGTTCCTCTATAGTAGATCCATTGTTGGAAAATTATCCTGGTCACTCTCTTGGCTTGTTGTTTTTTCTTTTGCATGTCCAGTGTAACATCTTTTGCCATATCATTCTTTTACCCTGTCATTGTTAAATCCAGTTTCATATCAGTCTCACTCTTTTGAGGGAGAATTTATTCCCATTTCATCTTTTAGACACAACCTTATAGAGGCCGACACTTTTAAGATTAATTTCTGGGTCCATTGTTCAACTTTCAGTAGGCCCAATGTTAAAACATTTCGCTTCATTCCCCAACTAACGACCACAATTAGGATTGGAACTTTTGTTGCTAAGCAATGAGTCGTGAACACACCTGATTTTACTAATCTTCTTTTCCACGGTTATTAAGCAAATCACAAGGTCATGAAGTGAATCTGGCTTCCTCTATTAACTTTGCTTGCCGGAAGCGCATGGTAGCTGGAAGGTTGCGAATAGCAATCAGTTAACCCCAGGATTCTGCAACCATCATAAATACATGCAGCTTGCTAAGGGCCCAAATCAAAATCGTTATGATAGTAGGGATACCATGACACTTGCAAGTGCAATGACTAGTTGCTAGTCACTTTTTTCAGCACCACTGTAAATACTGAATGATCACTAAACAAATGATGATAAGTTGAGTGGTGCTCTTCTTTAATTGTAAACTTCAGCTCGTTCTAGTTCTATATAGTGTCCAATTTTTAAAGCCTTACCTTACAGTTTTTACAAAAGAATTCAAAACAAAAAGTGTTTTCCAAGAGGAAGGATGCTTCCATAATCTTATTTAAAATTTATCTGGACCTTTACTTCATTTGTAACTTTCTAAGACTTTATAAAATCAACATTTAATAACCCTTTTGTATTTATTCCCCCTTCCATTTTTTTCAGTCCTTAAAGTTGTATTTAAAGCTTCTTTTGCTAAGGTTTGGAGGAAACTCATTCAGTGCTGTAAAACATGTCAATCCAAAAGTTCTTAAAGCTGGAAAACAACTAACAATCATTTTCAGAACGTGATTAGAAAAGGAAGTATGTGAACCCAGAGTCCTTTCAAAGCTGACCCCGCTTTTATCAAGATGGCTATTCCCTTGTTTCCCAGAGCTCTAAACCCACCAAAGATTGCAATCTCCTTGTAAGGTGTAACTGTCTAGACTCTAAGCTGTGGGCAATCTCAAGTCATCTACTTGTCCAGAGAGGAAAAACGAAGAGCTAATCTCCTCAACAGTTTTTCGTTCACTGCAGCGTCAGCTCCACAAACTTCAGTTAGTCATTTTGTCCCCAGGAGTCCCTCAACTCCCAGTGCCCACACGGTCTTGAACATTAGGTGTATGCTGATGCCAGCGGATGTACTTCGTGAAAGCTTATACTATAATAAATTAGCCATTAATATGCTACAAAACTCATTGTTGAAGCAAAATGGCACAGCTGCCCCTTCTGGAAATTGTTCATTCTGTGGCTCTTTACAGTCCATTCCAATCCTGTTTTGACAAGGCCCGCTGCCATATCTTCCTTTAATTGGCACAAAGACTTTGCAAAGGTCTTAATTATGTGTTTAAAGGTACCAGAGATGCTTGTTAGAAACAGGGTTTCTAAATTCCCTACCTCCTCCCCCCAACACACATTTCTCCTGCTGCTTTCCTCTCATTATAGTGCCACAGGGACTTGCATTTGTGTGGAGCAACCTTTTGATTTTTAAATTAAATGTCAGCTGCAGTTTTTGCCCTGGAATGGCAAGCATCCTCAGAGAGCCTGGCACCGCTGCTTCCCTCTTTCCTAACAGCAGGGCTTTTGTATGTGGGCAATCAGATGTAATTTATTACACACATTCCTGGGCAGACTCAAGATGTGGCTGCAAGCTGGGTGAACTGTGATCTTGGACAGGGAGGGGTGAGAAAGGAAGCCGACCACAAAGCAGGGGACTCAGAACCTTAATTCCTCCAGGCCAGCGGCTTTCCCCCCAGTTAACCAGAGATTGGCTGGTTGGTTGTTTCCTCAGGAATGGTGTCAAGATGAGGCTGATGCAGCCATGACACGAGCCTTCTCTTTCCTCTTTTGTTTCCAATTAGCAGCTCACCGACGTGAAGACCTGCATGCAGTTCTCCATTCGCCGGCCCAAGCTCCCCTCCTCTGAGACCCACCCAGAGGAGAACGCGTATAAGCGCTTAGATGTCTCTGGGTGGCTTCGTCATTTAAACGAGGCTGGACAAGTCGAAGAAGAGTACAAGCTGAAGAAGGTGAGAAGCAACTTCACGGTGGCATGTTTTGCTCTGCGGGTTTCAGCAGAGAGCCTCCCTCTGCCAGACTCCAGAGTTTAAGGAATTCTGCCTATTGTTCCTGGTTGGGCCTAATCCTGGCAAGAGGGAAGGAACTGAACTAGTTAAGTGCAACAGAAAACACACACACACACACACACACAGCCTCCTTCCTAAATCAGATTGCTGCTAAGCCATTGTTGGTCACTGCTCATTGAGTTGGGAGGATCTGCAGCTATTGCCACGGGTGCTTGGGCCTCTCTCCTCAGGCCCCAAGAAAGTGCTCAAAACTGTCTGGCTTGGAATAAATAGGAGGTGGTGGAATATCTGCGCAAAGCTGGGTCCAAGTGTACCGTTTCCAAGATTGGGGATTAAGCTGTGACGTGAGAATGATGCGTTAATTGTACGGGCCCTCCAGGGGACTTATTGACATTGAAATGAGCTTGATTTGTATCTCCCCTGGGAAATGGGCGGGCTCTGCTTTCCCTCCCAGCATATGCAGATTGTGGGCTCCTGAATCAAGGGAGCTCTTGTCAGGCAGAGTAAAAAAGAGCTCCCATTTCAGAAACGCTGACACTTTTCTCTGAACGGGGTTCTCATTCTTCCTTCCCCAGGCTATTTTCTTTGGCGGGATCGATGTCTCAATCCGTGGTGAAGTTTGGCCCTTCTTGTTGCGCTACTATAGCTATGAATCCACCTCGGAAGAGAGGGAAGCTCTCCGTATTGCAAAGAGAGAGGAATATTTTCAGATCCAACAGAAAAGGTAGCCAGGAAGAGATGACTAATGGGTCAAGATACTGTTGTAAAATTGCCTTCTTCCATCCTCTTATCCTCATGCTTGTCCTCGTCATCTTTCTATACCACCTTTCGGTTATATTTTTATATTTACACACACACAAACACAAACACACACAGAGTTCTCAGCTTTCCCAAATTATGATAGGCCTGCAATGGATGTTTTACAGTAAAACACTTCTGACTGTCATAAAATGCTGTTTCCCTCACCCACCCACCCACCCACAGTGACATGTTCACATTTCAAGCAACTGTCTCACCTTTCCATCCAGTTACAGCATCTTGTGAACACATGACCATGATTTGCAAAGACCATGATTTGCATGATTTGCCAGTTTTCAGCAAAAAACAAAACACCATTTGAAACAATGGGATTGTACTTAGAACCCGATTAGCAGACTGAAACAACCAGAAATCTAATTGTGTTGTAAGTTGAGGGCTACCAATACATACATACATACAAAATCCCTCAAGATGATACGTTTGTTTTCTGCACAAAAAACCCTGTGTGGTGTGTTGGGCTGAGATGAAGGATGGATCCAAAGTCACCCCATTTGCCTATTATGCCTAAGACAGGCCTAGAACTCCCAATCTCCTGGTTTCTAGGCCAGCACCTTGACCATTACACCAAACTGAATCTCATAACTAACAACCGGTCCCTTGCTCAAAGCATCTATGTTATTAGAAACAGGAGTAGGGAATACCCAGGACCATTATGGTGGAGAGAGGGAGATTTGGCTGGGAAAGAATTCAAAGTGAAGTACTTCACAGACCTGATTCATATGTCTCATTGAGCCGTAATTTCTTTAAATATGATTTGTTGAATAAATCGCAGCTGGTTTCACACATGCCAAATCATAAATATCCAGACATAACAATTGAATCCTATGGGGCTGACTGTATTCACACACACCAACAACTGCTGGCAAAGGTCATCCAGCGTTTTAGGGCTTGATAGTGCCCATAATCTCTGATGACAGCCGGCCTGTCTCTACTTTCTATCAAATTCCAAGGTATCTGAACCCATTTTTCAGAAGGGGCTGAAAAGAAGAACCTGAAGCTTTGTGGTCAATTAATTGGAAGGAAGAACAGGGAAATCAGTTTCTCTGTTACCTAGGTGACACACACTGTGAAAATTCAAGCCATTTTCATATGGTGAATTCACCACTGAACCCAACCAGGAATTTATTTACAGAATGAAAAACTAGCACTTTGACTTGCACCCCTGACATATTCTGTCCTATTTAGGTTATAGTAGCACACTGTTCATGGGTCTGCCTTTGAAAAGTGTTTGGAAATTTCAGCAAACCCTGCATTCAGGCTATTGATGAGGGTAAGCTGTAGGACGCACATGCCTCCCTTATTACATGGTCTCTTTTTCAGATTATTGGATCGTTTGTATCTTGGGACTTGGTTGAAGGGCTGCAGTCTTCCCTTTAGAACTGCATAGGCTCAACCATCTCCAGGCAAGGCTTTTTCCTTGGTCAAATCATCTTCAGAAGCACATTTAGGTGCAATGGGAAAGAAGGCTGTTTTGAATTTTATAGCCTCCTGCAAAAGAAGCCAGGGTAGGGATAATTCCACCACCAACAATCAGATGAGTTTAAATTTTAGGATGGTGTTTTAAGCTGATGCAAACTGTGCATAACTGCTTTTTTTAAAAAAATCAGAATATTTTATCCTTTTTTATGCTGTGTTTGGTTTACTCCTGTGTGCCCTGGTAGTACACATTAGGGCTGTGCAGTGCTTTGTATCCGGAAGAGAATTCTTTCAAATGCAAACATCGCCCCCATCTGCAGCTCATTCAAGAAGTTTCTAGGATGGCACAGCTGCATTGGAAACCCTTTGCAGGTGCCTAAAAGGAAGACACGGGTGCTTTAATGAGTAGCAGCAGGTGCTGGATACGCACTCCCAAGCATTCCAAAGCATCTCTTTCCAATTGAATCTGACACACACTGCAAAGCTCTAGCATAGGTGTGCAATAACTCCTGTGTTCCTCAGGCTCTCCCTAGCACCAGAGGAGCAGAAGGCCTTCTGGAGGAATGTGCAGTTCACCGTTGATAAAGACGTGGTGAGGACCGACCGCAGTAACCAGTTTTTCCGAGGAGAGAACAACCCCAACGTGGAGACTATGAGGTGATCATTTTTCCCAGTTAGTACCAAACAGTACACTGAGGGCACCTTCTTGGTAAATCCAAATTCATTTCTGCTTGGATAAAATCCTCCAGAGGATTTCCAGGCAAACTGAGAAAGTCACAGGCTTTTCCTCTTGAAGTGGTTAATCTTATTCAGTGTTAAGCAGTTTCAAATGTTTCGCATGCTTTGTCTCTTAAAACAGCCTTTCAACATTCTGGGACCTTCCAAATATGGCTCGCCTGTCTCCGAATTCATAGCTAGTAGGTTCCAAATATATTCCGGCTGGGAATTAAAGGAGCTGTAGGCCAGTTAACGGAAGGGCATTAGGTTGGGAAAGGCTGCTGGACAGCAATCCAGGAAGATGTGAGTTTTATGCCCAGTACAAATAAATAAAATACTGCAGGTGGGGGATTGAAACAGGGAGAGAATGCCTTGTCTCAGGCCTCAAGGTAGCTCAGGGGTTCCTATTCTCCTAGAATTTGTTACTTTCTGTGTTGTGTTTGTCCTTTTCTCCCCATTTTCCTTTGTTTTAAAAGAAGCTTCTGGCCAATGGTTCCTTGGCAAGAGAAGAAGGGAACTCTCTGACTTCCATCATCCCTAATTTCACCTTCTGTTTTTCTTTTTTCTTTTGTTTTAATTGACCTCTTCCTAGGCGGATCTTGCTGAACTATGCAGTGTACAACCCGGCCATTGGCTATTCCCAGGGAATGTCTGACCTCGTGGCCCCCATCCTTGCTGAGGTTCTGGATGAATCGGATACTTTCTGGTGCTTTGTTGGTTTGATGCAAAACACGATCTTTATCAGCTCCCCTCGGGATGACGATATGGAGAAGCAGCTGGTGAGGCTTGGAGCTGAGGGCCTTCCCTGTTTTTTTTCCCTTCCCTTCCCTGTCATTTCCAAAGAAATCCAAAGCACGGAATCTGCACCTGGGGCTGCCTGTGTATCCCACAAGAGAAATGGAAAGGTGTGAGGAGTTCTGTCAGAGAAGCAGAAGTAGGAAGGTTATGCTTGCAAGAGGTCCTGGCAATGCAGAAATATCCACTTCCTGGCAGCTCCCAGGGCTTCTTGCCTTGTGTCCAGCATTCTTCTCAGCCTGTTATTATTATTATTTGTTTGAATTGGTGGATCCAACAACCGATGCAACCAACCCTGTGTAGGCCTGTGAGTTTCTATTGATCTAGGATGGGGTAAAGAGGGAATGTAGGAAAACCAGAAGGTGCAACTGTGGCTGTCCTTCTTTCTCTTCTTCCCTGGCTGTGGCTGAGCCGAGCACCCTTGTCTCTTTGCAGATGTACCTGCGAGAACTGCTGCGGTTGATGCATGTACGCTTTTACCAGCACCTGGCTTCCCTTGGGGAGGATGGTCTTCAGATGCTTTTTTGTCACCGTTGGATCCTCCTCTGCTTTAAGCGAGAGTTTCCGGACGCCGAAGCCCTGCGCATGTGGGAAGCCTGCTGGGCTCATTATCAGGTGAGGCCTGGGAGCAGCTTGCTCTGGGCCCTGCATTCCACCCCTCCAAGCGGGAACGGCTTCCCCTTTGCACTTCCCTGCTTTCCAACTCCCTGTCCCAGCCTCGATAGGGATAAGCCCGAGCATGCTTCCTGATCTCCTCTGAGTGATCCCCCTGGCCTTCCCTTCCGTGTCCCCTCCCCCCCCCCCCCTCCTCTGACATTACACAAACAGATGTAAATTTCCCTCCTGATGGTTCATTTTGAAGCCCTGGGCCTCTCGTTGCTGTGGCCACCCATCAACCTGACAGGCCTTCTGCCTGCTGTGCAGTTGCCTCCGCAGTTTGGCTGCCATCATGCCCCTCCCAAGCGTTAATGTTGATGGCTGCTCTGTGCACTCTCTCTCTCTCTCTCTCTCTAGAGAGAGAGAGACAGAGAGAGAGAGAGAGACAGAGACAGAGACAGAGAGAGACACAGACACAGAGAGAGAGAGAGAGAGAGAGAGAGAGAGAGAGAGAGAGAGAGATGGACAGCGTCAGGCCTACCCGACTTCCACCAGCGTCTCTGGTGAGGTTAGCCCCAGGTCCCAACAGCAGGAAAAGAAGCGTATGGTTTGTGTCGGACCTGGTCTTGTCCTGTAAACGGAGGCTGCCACCAAACCACGTTCACCATATGCTGCTAACTCTCATTTCTCTCTGCCAAATAGTTTCTCTCTGGTGGTGGTCCAAGGAGGGGGGGGGGGGCAAAGGGGGGGAGAAAATGCCTGGAGCAAGCTTGTCTCAAATTAGCACAGAGCAGCAGCCAGGAAGGTTGCTCTTCTTGGCTCTGGCTTCGCTGCCTCTTTAGCTGCCTGATCTAGACTTCTGTGGGAATAACATGTTACCGAAGACAAACTGACTCCTGTAGCCAAACCTAATTCAGAAGGGAAAGACCAGAGCTTCGATTGTACATTAATAAAGCATATCATGTTAAATGCCAAAGTTCCTAAGTATGGGACCAGCCCTAAAGACTGCTAGCATTAAAAAATAAGTCTGAGTGTTAAATCCTGTCTCGATTTCATAGGAGGCGGTGAGTTCTAGTCTCGCCTTAGCCATGAAAGCCGGTTGGGTGACTTTGGGCCAGTTGTTCTCTCTCAGCCCAACCCACCTCACAGGGTGGTTGTTTGGGGGAAAATAGGAAGAGGAAGGAATATTATGTAGGTTCACTACCTTAAGTTATTTATAAAGTAATATAGGCAGGATAAAAAAATTCTAATACACTTGTGGTCACATTTACATTCTATTCAAGTACATCATTATTATTATTTTTACTTATCTTGGGCACCAGGCTTTGATTTACTTCTTTTTTCCTAAACTCTCATTCAAGTAACATTTGCAATACTTTTGATAGCACTCTCTAAAAATCTCTTTTTGAGGATCATTCCAGTTGCTTGGCTATTATGAAGTGGGTGTGTTGCCTCCGGAGTAGGGGTGGGCAACCACAGCCCCTTTGCGACCTGTGGTCTTCATTTTCCAGCTGGCTCAGGAATTCTGGGAATTGAAGTCCACAGCTTGTAAAGGAGCTGTAGTTGCCTACTCCTGCTCTGGAGGCATCTGATTCCTTCAGCTGACAGCAGGGGGCAGCATTGCAACCTTCATGTTTCCTGCTAATTGTGGCTGCAGAAATATTTCAGAGAAGCTGCAATCAAAGCAAACAACATCCTACTCGTTAAGCAGTGTGGCAGAATGGCATTCTTCAGTTTCCCTTAGTCATTGCTGACTGTCTTTCAGGTCTGATCTTTCCCAATTGCAATCTCCAGCACAACTGGGTACCTGCCTTCTCAGCTGAAGATACCTTTGAATTCAGTGGGGCTCAGGTTAGTGTCTGAGCAGCTTTGCTCTAATGATGTCCTTCACCTGGATGGACATCATCTCCCTTGATCCCCAGTCAGCCAGAAGGTTGCAGAAGCTCAAGGAAAGCCAGTGTGTAAGATTGTAACCTTCCTTCACATGGTCCCAATATTTGAGCTAAAGTTTTACTCATCCTTTGCTCTGGGCATCCTAGGGGTTAAAAAATTCTTGGACTATATAGCATCCACTCAATCTGCCAATGGTGCCTGTGCTGGAGATTGCAGACTCCAAAACCAGTTTTCCAAAACATTTGTTTTCCTCTAGGTTCCCCCCCCCCCCCCCAATATATTTCCTTAAAGAAAATAATCTGCTGTCCTTATTGGACAAGAGAAAACCATCTGAAATGCAAATGAAAGCTCTGAATTAATCTACTATATTCATAATCTGAAATTCAAGCCATAATACCCCACAGGTTCTGCATTACATGAAGTGCTTTCTTTGCCTTTAAAGTGTCTGCTGTGTTAGAATAGCAATAATGTTGCCCTTCCATCTTGTCATATAATTCATGATCACCATAGATTGCTTTTTATTCTGTTGCCATTTTTTTTTTTTTTTGGTGCTTTCTCCTAGCCCAAGAAACCTCTTCAAAGCGTTGTTGGTACTAACTGTCTTCTTGGTTACTTTTGCTGCAGACTGACTATTTCCATCTCTTCATCTGTGTGGCTATTGTGGTGATCTATGGGGATGATGTCATCGAGCAGCAACTGGCCACCGACCAGATGCTGCTACACTTTGGGAACCTCACCATGCACATGAATGGGGAGCTCATACTCAGGAAGGTAAATCAACGTCCAGAAAACTTCTGGGAAGAAATTTATGGACTTTAAAGGAGCACACACAACATTGTGCCCAATGTGGGAGGGTTTTTTTTGGGTGTCTGTGTGTGATCAGCCTTCATTGTGACTTACAATAGGCATGGTTTAGACAAGCTCAAGCTATTCCACTTAGCTGTCTTCAGTGGACCTAAACATCTCCCGCTGTCTCTCTTCCAGGCTAGGAGTTTGCTCTATCAGTTCCGCCTGCTACCCCGGATCCCCTGCAGTCTGCATGACTTGTGCAAACTCTGCGGAACAGGCATGTGGGACAGTGGCTATATCCCCGCCGTGGAATGCACTGGGAATCACCCGGACTCCGATAGCTGCCCATATGGAGGCATGGTGGATGAGCCGTCTCCCAAGTCAGGAAATGATTGCAGAAGGGGACTTAAAACACGAGAGGTCTTTGCCTTCCGGAAATAATCGTTCAGGTTCATGAAGATCAGCTACGTGAGAACTGCAAAGCAGTGAGCACAGAAAATTCGGCACAGTCGGGACCTGGCAAGCAAAAAAAAAAAAAAAGAAGAACAAAACAAGGGGTTTTTCTTCGGATCCCAAAACAAGGTTGGTCATGGGAGGAGAACAGAATATAACAGAACGATACAGAGTGGAAGAGTTTCCTGCTTTCTGATCAGAGCTGGATTTTGATGTGCACCATACCAGGAAGCGGGTTGATGAGAGTATGGAGTTGCATTGTAGTTTGGAACAAATGGTGAGAGAGGGGCGGATGCTGGCAAATTGGGGTCAAAAGTGACCTGGGATTCCCTGCCTCCCTTGTCATGTAGGGAATAGTGACTGCTTTAGAACATGAATCCAAAACCAGCAACCCTGATGATAGGTGAAGGGGCAGGGTCGGCCTTATCCCTTTGCCCAGGTGCACCCACACACCTATGCATGCAGATACTGCTTTAACCAAAATGCACCACTCACTGGCTTTATGTAAAGCCACAATGACCAACTGGAGTATAGTCTGCCAAAAACAATAAAAAAAAATATAAATTTTGGGGTTCCCAAAGGAAACATTTCAGTGTGTGTGTGTAAACCTTGATCACTGTATTTTAAATGCCTTTGGTTTTTCTCCATATTACACATCAAATGTTCGTCATTAGGAAAGTTTCACTGTGAATGTAAATTATGCAAAATCACACCTCATACAAGATTGTCTGTTTGATTTAAACTTGTCAAGTAAAAGAAACTGGGAAAAAGTTCTTCTCGGTAGCCCAGCGAGAAGAATCACTTTGAAAGCATTTAGCTTCATTAACAACTTCTCCAGTGAGGACTTTGGGGATCAGAAGGCTACAAGTTTCAGAGCCATTGCGTTCTCCTTTCAGACCAGTAGCCTACATCTAGCTACCCTGTGTCCTTCTCCAGTTTTACTGTTGTTGATTTAACTGTTTCCTAGTTAAAATAACAATAAAAAGCCCACCTTGCTACACAGTGGTAGGATCATCCTGATAATATTGAGGTGGTGAAAGGAATGCTTACCCGAATAACGTGAGGATTCTTAGTTCAGTTCAAAAGTTATTGAGGTCAAAGACCAGTATAGAAGAAAACAATTAACAAACTCTTTAAAAATAAAAGAGGAAGGAAGGCCAAACTAAAACGATAGTAACCCACTATTATTGCCAATATACATTTTCAGCCATTATAATTTGGCTCTTTGTCAAATAGCAAGGCAGTGAAGCTCTTCTTGCTACATCTTTCCCAAAGGGAACACTTGGATCTAGGCCTAGGGGAAATCCACAAGATAGAGTAGTGAGCAAAGGCAGCTCCTTGGGATTTTTTTAATTTTATTTCTTGCTTATTTTTAAATGTATTAAAACTTGTAAGAGAAAAGCTCCATCCAGTTCTCGGGACCTGTGGGTTTGAAATGTAGGCTTTGCGCTGAATGAGCTGCCAGGCTGTTCACACAGGTTGCAAAGTGTGAGGTGTTTTCAGAGATATTAAGTAATGCCTTTGTTATCTGTCCCCTTCATAACCCTAGCAAAACCAGCATAATTTACAACACCTCCCCGCCTCAGCCAAAGGCAGCCTGTTACTTTATATGGAAATGGGAATTGCCAAGTGCTGATAATTTCACCCGTTTAAAAAAACAACAACGAACAGATGACCCAAAAAAAGAGAGACTTTTTGAGCTTCCAGATAGGTTAGATTGTCTATCATTTGGAAGAAGAGGGATATTACCAAATCTAGTTGAAGGAATCTGGTGGCTGGGCTATAAAACATTATTCAGCGCTTTGTCCAGAAATTGTATTTTTTAATAAAAAAAAAACCAGCATGGACACTTCAGAACAAATGCAATTTATGGTCATCAAATTGCAGCAGTAACTGGGCTGTATTGCGAGAGTATGTTTCTAACAGCTTTTTGAGCCACCCAGAATCGTTTTTCTGAGTGAGATGGGCAGCATATAAGTTAAATAAATTAAAAAGAGATAAGATAAATAAATAAGCTTTGCAATGTAATATAATTGGACGTGAATGCTGCAAATCAGAATTTGAGTGTTATTGCCTGGTTTCTGTATACTTTTTAAAGAATGAAATCCCAGTGGCAGACTAATAGGGCTATAACTTACAGGTTGAATTTGACAGATCATCCCTGTATTGGAGGGAAGAGAATAGCCCACAGCAGACCAAGGAGTTACTTTCACTGGGAAACAAAAACCAGGATATTTTTTTTCTCCTGAACTAGAGCAGAACCTGGAACATTATTGAAATTCCCTAATCAACTTGGACCAGAAGAATTCCCGGTGGCCACTTTAGAAGGAAATAAAAGACTTGCGTGTGTATACTTAACTGTCTCTCCAGGAATTAGAAGGAGCCTGTAAAATAAATTGTACATCTGGGAAGCTCAATTATTTGGGATTTGTACAGCACAACTTTCCCTCTTTAACGAGTTCAGTTTCAGCCTGGGATGTACAGTATTTGGTTGGAGTCAAAACTGAAGGCCAGCTTGTGATGGGTTCAATATATAAATTGCAACTTTTAAATTTGTTGAAAGCTGGTAATTTTTATTCCTCTAGTTTTATTTAAATCAATTAAAGTTAATCACTGTAATTCTTTATTAAGTCGTTTTCCTCTTTAACATTGGTTTAATGGCATCTTCATTTGCACATGTTTCCGATTGTATAAATAAATTTGAATAAAATCTTGTATTTATTAAGAACACAGAGATTATTTTTGTCTTACTTCCTATGGAGTGGAAATTTGCTGCAATGAATTTAGAATGCCTTCACTTGCTTTGCCCCATTTTGCAAATGAATTCATATCAGTATGTTTTGCATCTCAGATCAATTGCTGCACATTGAACTGAAGCAGAACTAAACACAGTAACTTAAATTGCATCTGAACTGGAGCAGCGGCCAAAACAAGAGTATCAACAACTCCGTGAATTTCTGCACCTTCTACCTAATTGAAGGCAGAAAACTGGAGTGCAGGTTTTGGCAGTCTGGCCCTTCCCTGTTACTCCTACATGCAGAAGGTGTTGCATCTAGACTCTGTCCTAGGCTAAATACTGTGGGAAAACCTGAATTAGTTGCATTTTGCACTTGCAACAAGAACAAAGTTGGAGCTGATAGGTAGCCTTCCCTTGATGCTAGCACTGTTTTCAACTTTTTCAGTCTCTGCTTAGGTCTTGAAGGACCCTTTCCCACAACCATCCCCATCAATGGGGATTAGCAGATCGCTTGGAGAACAGATAGCCATTGGTGTTTTAACGCCCTGCCCTCTTGTCCACATCTTCTCTGGTGCGTTTAAAAATCTCAACACCTGTTCTACAGGAAAGCTGGCCAGGTGGGGTGGTCTCTCTCCGAGAAATTAAAAAAAAAGCTATGAGAAACCATAACAGATGGCAGCATGCGTTGGCTGACCTTGAAAAGGCTAAGCAGGCTAAGTCCTGATTAGCACCTGGAGGGGAGACTACCAGCAAATCCCACAGTTGCAAGCTAGGAGAACGAAGTTGAAAAGGGAACGATGAACCACTTCTGTGTCATGGCCAAGAAGCATGAATGAAAGCATGAATGTGTTCTTGATGCACTGCAATCACTAAAGTTGAGTTTTCTAAAGCAGCGGTCTCCAACTTTTCCGGCTCACATGAGCTCACCCACCACTTCCACGGCCTAGTTCCAAACAGGCTGAGGCCTGGCACCAGGCCTCAGACCTGAGGTTGGGGACCCCTGTTCTAAAGTGTTCCTGGGGGATTTGGGAGTCCTGTCAGAGGAGGTGGGGCCCAGGAGCTCCACCAGAATGGGTTTTTTTTTTCTCCTTTCTCTTTTGAATGGAAGCCTCTTTATCACTGTTCGTTTCAGTTCTTAGTTCCTGAATTTGTAACTTAAGCCATTCTTTGTCACCAGGGACAAGTGAGAGGAGGCCTGGATCCCAAGGCACTCCTGATGTATCTGAAAGCAGTTTGCCTGTAGCTTCTGCTTCCTTCACAGAAATTCAAGCCTGTCTTTGTCATCAGTGCAAGGGGTTGTGTTTGCATATATAAACAGAAGTGGGGAGGGAGGCCAAGCGGGAGAGGAGGGGGAAGCTGTTCAGATTTCAAGGTCAGGAGGGAAAGAGCTGTTTTAATTTCAGTCCAGCCCTGCCATGCTGGAGATTGCTGTGAGAGAGACATATCTGAAGGAGGGGTAGGGTAGGGAATATATTATGGGCCGGCCTCCTTCACATCTCCTGGAGGTCACAGGAACACAGCACCACCTACTGTCTGCAAGCTCTACTGCTCAGTGGTGATTATGCTATGGCGGGGTGGGCAAATTATGGCAAGTTTACGACCTGTGGACTTCAACTTCCAGAATTCTCAGAAATGCAGGGAGCCGAAGTCCACAGGATGTAAAGTAATGATAATCCCCCCCACCCCCAGGGCGATGGTGTAATTCCAGCACAACCATCCTTCTGGCTACTGGCCACATTTGAGCTGACCCAACACCACAGTGTTATTATTTTTTTTGGCATTTTCTTAAGATGGTAGCTGCCATAGCCAATGTTTAAACAACATAAGAGAACATGCTAGGATTGTTCTATAAATGTGCACTGTTAGTCTAAAAATGGGAATATTGCTAATGGACTCATGCAAATGTACTTCACCAGACAGCCTTTTCCACAGAAGATGGTACCCAACGATGGGACAGGTTTTTGAGGCGAATAATATTCTTGGAATACTAAGACAAGATAAGAAGCCTCTCAATATTTTTGTTTAAAATACTATGCAGGAGATTATTCTGGAGTTGAAAGTGGCTTTTCCTCCCCTAGTTTCTCTATTAGGTAGATGTTCGTATATGGTTAGTGCGTAACAATAGTGCTTAACAGTTACTTCACAAATTTAAGCATCAGTTCTGTCAGTAAGAGTACATTGCTAAACATACCTTATTATTTAGTTAAAATAGATTGTATTCAACTATCTCTCAGTATGCTTAGTGACAGATTATTTCAAACCTACACCAAGTGAGAAAATATATCCTCTTCCTGGCATGGGCCCCCTTAAGATCAGGAGAGAAGTAGAAGAAGAAGAAGAAGAAGAAGAAGAGAGAAGAAGAAGAAGTAGAAGAAGAAGAAGCCCCCTTAAGATCAGGAGAGAAGTAGCAGCAGATGCCCTGAGAACTAAGCAAGAGAAGGATCCTTGATGTCCTCTGAATGGACATATGCCTGAAGCCCACTGACTCAGATCTAGGAACACCTTCATGACAAGAACAAACATTCCTGAGGATACACAAGAACAAAATCGAATTAAAAGATGGAGGAAGGAGACCACTGAGCAAGGAATAACATTAAAGGAGGATATGGCTGAAGGATCTGACTGAGCTCTCTACTTGGAGGATCCTGAATAGGTTGAGAGTTGGAATGCCTAAGTGTAAATGTTCCATGTTCAAATGGAAGTTCTTAGCAGATGACAACAGACTGTGTGAATGTGGAGAGACAAAAAGTCTGGCCCATCTACTGGTATGTCAGCTACTACTAGAAATGTACCAGTGGTGACTTATTTTTGGCCAACGATAAAACCAAGATGATGTCTTCATTCTGGCAATTTAAAGTTTGATCTAGACCCAGAAGAAGAAGAAATATCCCTCACAATTCTTGTATCAGTATAAAATGCCAGAGGGATGGGAACGCTGTATACGATCAGTGTTTCACAGAAAAAGGTGAGAGATCCTGCCATGCACATGTTGATGATCCAAACTCTGTCAAGAACCTTGGAGTACTCATCTCTAATGATCTAAGTGCTAGAGCCTACTATAACTACATAGCCAAAAAGGCATTAAGAGTTGTTAACCTAGTCCTACATAGCTTTTTCTCTGGTAATATCACATTAACAAGAGCATACAAAACATTTGCTAGACCAATACTTGAATACAGCTCATCAGTCTGGAACCCACATTACGTATCTGATATTAACACAGTTGAGAAAGTCCAGAAATAAGAGTTCTCCACTCCTCTACTTGTTGCAAAATACCTTATGCCACCAGAGTTGAAATTCTAGACCTAGAAAATCTAGAACTACGCCGCCTTTGGTCCGATCTAAGTATAGTATATAAAATCATACATTGCAATGTCCTACCTGTCAATGAATACTTCAGCTTCAACCATAACAATACAAGAGCACTCAATAGATACAAACTCAAGGTTAACCGCACCAAACTTGATTGCAGGAAATACGACTTCAGCAATAGAATGGTCAATGTCTGGAATACTCTATCTGACTCTGTGGTTTCTTCCCCAAACCTCAAAAACTTTAACCTTAGACTGTCTACTATTGACCTCACTCCTTTCCTAAGAGGTCTGTAGGGGGCGTGCATAAGCGCACCAAAGTGCCTACTGTCCCTGCCCTATTGTTTCTTTTTATTTTTCTTATATGTATCCATTTCATGTATTCATAACTATGTATATACTTATACCTGTTATCTTGTAAGCGATTGACAAATAAATAAGAAATAAATAAATAAATAAATAATAAATAAATAAATAAATAAATAACAGGTGATGTTATTATGCCAACAATTGCCCAATTGTCCCTTCGTATGTGATTATACACATACCAGAGCAGAGTGCTTCCCAAAGTATATATTAATGGTATGGAACTTGTAATGAGACTTTCTGAAGAGCTGAAGTAGTACAGTTTGGGCATCTGTATACACAGAAATCTCATTGAGCTAAATGGGGTGTACTTTCTAACAATAAGGTATGTTTATGAATGTATTCATATTGACCAAACTGTTGCTTAAAACAGTAGCAAATGTGAATAGGTTGAATTCTGAGATGATACCGATCTACTGCCTTCACCTCGGTTAATGTTTCTGGGACTAGAAACCATCCTGCTTATCAGTTTACAATGAATGTATTTTCCCTTCTGTTTGCAAACAGTTGCCCATTTAGGTTTGCTTGTTGTTTATACTAAAACGCAGCTCGCCATTGTTGTTGTGTGACACTATTAAAGAGTAGGATCCCTCCCTATCATGCTTAAATTCTACTACATTATTGCATTTCCTATAGTCATGTCAACTATGAACAATGAACATTCCTGACTTGGCCTATGAGAATTCCTTCTGTGGGATATCGGTGGCCATCATGGGTTATGAGCAGGGCTGGGCTGCTGGGGATTCACAGGGGTTCGGAAGAGCCCCTAGCTAAGATTCTGTGCCGTTCAGAGTACCCTCAAATCCTACTCCTGGCTGGCCCCAGCCATCCCACCCCTCCCAGGAGTCCCCACATGGCCTGTTTTGGATGCAGGTAAGTGCAAGGTGCGCATGTAGGCTCAGGGAGGGCAAAAAATGGGCCTCCCGGAAGTTCCAGGAAGGCCGGAAATGGGCCACTTTCCAGCTTCCA